ATTGTCAGAGATATTAGAGCCTTCAAAACGGTAATTTAATAGGCTAAAAGTAGGTGTAACCCCAATCAGTAAAATCTCATACAATCTTTAATATGTTGATGTCATTTTCAAAAGTAAATTTCAATATTTTTAATTAAAATAATCCCTGGTGATCCTGCGTCGAAACTCCTGTCTTTAGGCACTACCTGTTTTGGGTTGACACTGCCCTGTCTCTGTTTCTCAATTTCTTTTCTCCTACCTTTTGCCCTATCACATCAGCATTCACTCATATGATGGTCCACTGTTGTCCCCATTATGCAGTCCACTGTGAGAAATGCCAATAAATACTCATAAGTGGCACCACCATGTGGATTCCATGGAATGACTGGCCACATATGCTGTGAATTTGTGGATCTGCCTCCTTCCCTCAGACCATGTGATGTTAAAGCTTCATGCTGCAAATTTTCCTTCAGTTGTAATATATCGTATTGATACAGAGAAAGCAAACTAAACAGCAAGCAGGGTCATATATGTTCACCTGTTTAACATGGCTCTGCTCTTTTGATGCGTTTCACCGACAATATGGCTAAGTAATAGGAGCATGACTACAGGCAATGACGAAGTCCATATTGTGGCTGAAATGCATCAAGAGGGAGCCACATCAGATGGGTTTAGGAGTAATCTTTCTTGCACTTTCATTTTGCTTGCCTGGTGTAAAAGCATGTTGCAATTGAAGAAAAATAGAATGTGTGGCTTAAACTGGAACATCACATAGGCCGAAAAATGCCATGCAGCCATCACTGAACTGCATGTAGGCAGAAAGTAGCTGCAATGAGGCTATAGGAGATCAGCAGCACTGAGATAGAAAAAAGGATGAACGATAATATAATATTCTATAAGTTTAGATTCTAAACCAGATTAAAGTATGGTAATTGTTTCTGATATACAGTGCACAGAATAAAGTAAACGTCATCTAGTTAGGATTCCACTTGAATTTCGTACGAGCAAACATGGCAGCTGTTCCCCTCTCCTCGCCTGACATTGTTCCAAAGTTACGGAGCGGCGACTAATAATATATTTAATGTGGCGGACTAATTTCAAGATTCATTTTATACATTTCAATATTTGTACAATGTTAATACGGCGCGGGCGCCGGGTCCACGGTCTGAGTTACATTAATGTGTTTGACCCCTGCATGCTGAACGTGAGCGAGGAAAAAAACTGCCCCATAATTAGAGGAGCCAGAGTCAATCGGTCAATGTATTCCAAGAAATCTCAATTCAATATATCTCACCGTCCGCCGTGTCCCTCCATCTCCTGGGCACATTTTTTCCATTTTAACACAATTACACACAATGGACTGTAATTATTCACACAGGCTTTTAAGCAATAAACACCGGGCCGCTGACCGCATCGCCGCGTAAAAGGTTTAACCGTCAGATACGCCACGCAAAACACACATCGCCGACTCCCCTGAAGTCCCGACACCTAAACTTTTCCTGGCCGCTCTTGGGCCCCGCTGACAAGTAAGAGCCCAGAAAGATGCGATTAAGGAAGAACTCTGGCCTGGTGGATACCTATCTTTTCCTGAAATGACTGCATGTAATTAAAATGAATGTAACCAAATCAAAATAAAGCTTCTGCCATTTGTAACGGCTTCAAGAGGTTGCTAGGTCTCTGGTTCTTTTCGCGTTTCTCTGACTTTGCTTCCAGGAACAAGTATACAGGTCAGGATGTTCTGACTTCAGTGGGTAAATACTCTAGTCGCATCAAGAAGCAAAGGATGAACGTGACAGCCATGGACTTTTCTGCTAGAAGTAGACCGTAAAGGCAAGCACGTTTCTGTCAGCACAGGTTCACTTTAACGTGATTGAGACGTTAATATAAAGCTGTATCTGGTTCCCAGTACCCTAAACAATGCCATGTCTGCTCCCACGTGCACCGTTGCATTATTTGTAGCTTGGGGAATCCCCATTGCTGAAGATAATCACACAAGCTTGCTTGCACCTCTTTGTGTGGCCTAAATGTCACTTTCTACTAGCACATCCCTGGTCCTGTGGTCCTTTTCAGGGTCAATTCCAGGATGCTTATCTTATGATGTAACCCTCATGGGTTTTAGATGACACAGTGTATAACAATGGGGTGTGTTCAGATGAGTTAGATTACAATTTGTGAACCAATTAGAATTGCTGAAAGATGCTCAACTGCCGTTTTTGATCCATGAATTATCCACTTATTTACTCTGTGGAATCTGGAAGGTTTGACTGCAAGCAAAAGAAAGTTCTGGAGAAAAGGGACAAGAGAAGTCCTGGAGGGACTTTGAATCAACCCCGTTAATGTTACAGTATTGCTAAGGCTGATCAGTGTATACTCTCTTTAGCATAGACATTTCTGTGCAGTTTTTTTCTTTATTACTGCCAGCATTTTAAGCTCTGATTGAGCCCCCAAAAGACGGTGACTTTGTTCTGTTGCATTGAACAAAACAAACTTATTGGACACATGTTCGTTCCGTGGCGCTCACCTTTTTATTCCATTTCCAATGCTCTAAGACTGTCAGCTAGACTATAAACTCTAACTGGATGGCATTTAGTGTGCTCTGTGTGCTATTTATCAAACCTTAGCCATTTTTAGATCATAAACGACTGTTCTCAACCATTTTTCGTCTCCCCCTCCCCATTTTATTGCTGCTAGTCTCCTGCTGCCCTTTTTTGCCACTTTGCGTTCTTTTGCAGTAGATGCAGCAATTGCTTCACATGATCCCTTTGGACCAGAATCCTGGTTTCCTGATGATGGTAATAATGGTAATCTGTGCACAGGGCCTGATCTGCCTACTAGCCTATCTGAAAAAAAAAAAAAAAAAAAAAGTCACGGGGTGAATCACTGAGAGTCTGCCACAGTGTCGTGACCTGGGAAATACTAGTTTGTATTAAGTTGTCATTCGATTAGGGTGATTAAAGAGAGCGTTTGCCCCTTTTGTATTAACTATCCCTATCAGAGTCCCCTTTTATATCAAGAGTCCTCATCAGAGCCCCCCTTACATCAGATGTCCCCATCAGAGCACCCTCTTACATTAGTGTTCCCTTCAGAGTTCCCCCTTACATCAATTGTCCCCATCAGAGTGCCCCCTTACACCAGGTTTCTCCATCACAGTGCCCCCTTACATGGATTGTCCTCATCAGTGTACCACCTTACATCAACTGTCTGCATCAGACTGGCTCATGGATCAGTGGGTGCACTCTGAAACCCGGGGGGGAGCGTGACTAAAATCTGGGTGGGCACAGCCCACCCCAGCACTCCCTTAGATCCGGCCCTGTCTGTGTAATATGTGTCGGGGCACCGCTTGTAGACTACACCAGGGGAGCACAAGGCAGGATGACATTGCAAGAGTAGTTCTGACAGAAAGGAATAGAATTATCACCCAATAACAAGAAGTGCCTGAATACGAACCTTCATGGCAGGATCATCAGGGATCGTTTTAATGAATGCTGTGTATTTATA